ATACATATAAATTGATAGATACAATAGGATGTGAAACAACCGTTTACATACTGTTTGAGTTTTTGGTGAAACACAAACCTTGACTTTCGATAATGATAAGTTGCGCTGCATAAAACGTCCTATTGATAGCTTATTTTATTTTTCCTTTCAATATGAGACTACTTGAGTCCCCGCTAAGTGATTAGGTTATGCAAACTCTTTTTTGTTTGGTTAAAACGTCGCAGGACTACCCATAGGCACGTTAATCTGTCGATAATAATAATAATAATAATGGGAGAGGCAGTCCAGTGAAGAAAGAACTTCAATTACTCCCGCCTTAATGAAGTGTAAGAAAGTTACAGCAGGATCGCCACTGTCGTCTGTTCTGAGACACGTGAGATAATGTCTCAAGACCGTGTTGCGCCATCTCTAGGTAAACAACCTACACGAGTTAACCTTTCTGTTTTCCCTCTAGACACGTTGACACTTAGGTATGTACTTACATAAAAGGAGAATCCAGTATAGAATGTCACAAGAACAACAAGTATTGTCGAGATGTAAACAAATAAAATGAAGCACGACGAAGTATTTTCCAGTGGTGAAGTGGATGATTCCCAGTGAACACTATTAAGATACGGCAAATGAGTAATTTATTTGTAATATTCCGAATTGGTAGAAAACTTCAGTCTTAGTCACTTTTTTTTAATAATTGGGATATTTCAAATTTATCATGATTTTTAGTAATCACAACACATTAGTTAACACTCGCCTATAAATTCAAACTTCATTTATTCGACGCAATAAGTTAAACTCACAGGACTCCAACAGCATAAAATTCCACCAATCAGTAAAACGCCTAACTCACCTGACCAATCAATTTCTCAACATTATAATACTCTTCCTCTGTTCCTCCCATCATATGATGCTTCTTCGCCATATACCGTGCAATAGCCAAACTCTCTACCATCCATTTCACGTGCCCATGACTATCGGTGATTTTCACTGCAGGCAATCGTCCACCCGGAATAGTTGGTTTGATTTTCGGCCAATCTTGGAAACTAATTCTCTCATCTTCGTAGTTCACACCAGCTGCCACAAGTGTCATCCGGATCGATTCAGCTCGTCCGCGTCCGTTAAAATAGACAACCTATAGAAACTACAGCTTAGTGTTTTACATCACTTTTTGCTCGAAAACAGTTCTATCATCCAAGTCCTAACCACTTCAGAAAAACTATCACATAACAGATAACTGCTCCATGGATTACATATCTCTGAAATATGAACCAGATGGACTCTCTAGAACCCTCTAGGTTCTCGCAGCAATTTCACAGGCAAACCATAACATTTCCTGAAATACTACACCTAACTTTTCTTAAAACAAACACTGGGTGGTTACTATGTGACTATAATGGTTGTGCATCATATCAGAACTAAGTCTGAACACGTAATTTAGTGGCTTAATGAGGTGAAAAATCACTGCTAATTATGTGTACAGATTTACTGTGCAATCGATATGACTCAGTATTTACTTTCATGCCGCAAATAATATTTATTCTACCAAATACTGCAATTGGGAACCTCAACAACACTCGAAAACCCACCAAGTGACACAAGTGACTAAAAACAACCAAACCAACCTTGATGTGATCACCAGTCATCGTACAGTCAGACAAAACAATGTGAATTAATTAAGCAGTGACTTAAATAGTCATCTGGTAAATAAATCCACCAATAGTGCAACTACTGCATTGTTTAAGCTGTAAATATTTCATTTCTATTCGCTGAGCCATTGAGTGTCTCATTGGCTGTGAACAAGTGACCAATAAAAATTAAGCAGGTAAGTTTAACACGACTCATCGAGCATATAAACCGTTTTTCAACGATGGTTCATTTAATATACTTTTGCTTATTTTATTGATAGTATGCGTTAGCAAGCTGATTTAACTAAGGCTATCATGTTAGGATAGTATATCCATGATCAAGACATCTGAAAACAAATTAACACTAAAGAACCAGTCAATTAACCTGATTTCATGAAAAAAGTATGACTTCAATAATCAGCAAACGCGAAAATGTTAAGTATAGCCTAGTTGATTGGACACTGTTTATACTAACAATTTATCCTGATCAAGTGATGTTTGTTTCCGAATAATCCCATAATTATGTAGCTGTGAGTAGACAGACTTCATTAAATTCTTAACATCCTGCTTAACAATATCATATGCATCTTTGTGATCTCAGGCAAAGTTCTCACAGTTATCAGTAATATTTCCTAGAAATAAGTTGATAAAAAACGCTTCATTTGGCGATTTAAAATGTCATGCACACTTTTTAAACTAATGATCACAGTAGTTTTTCACTTCACTAATTTTGTTTCAGTCGATACTTGATTGATTCTCTCAGAAGTGATTGGAGTACCCAAGTTTTTGTTCCAATCCATTGTGGTGGCTACCCCTTAGGTTTGTATCTAAGTCTAAAAGATGCCATTCTATGCTAACTCATAACACTTAGTGACTCAGATGTTTCAATGACTATTGATCAGAACTAACAATCAACTGGTGGGGTTTATAGAGAGTTATAGTTCAAGCAACCAGCTCATCCAGAGAGAAGTCGAGTGGATTTATTCCATTCACATGATTAAGCTTTTATCCAGGTAAATGAAGTGTACTGGACATTTAAAGTTTCTGTTCGTGAGCCTCTTTTTTCAACTCGATCATTTTCTCGCATACCCATTCCAGTGAACTGTATATCCTTCTATTTAGTTGTTCTGTAATGACGCATACTATCGATTACTTAAGGATAGATTCAAACACAGTATTTTCGAATATTGCATCTAATAGATCAACACTCAATAATAGGAATTTTTCGACCTCAGTGAATCTATCGCGTAAAACGATTACCGTCTATTAAGTATTCTTATTCACTTCCCACTTAGTGAAAATCTATATGAACTACCATACAATAGTGACCAAATTAGATTCATCAGAGAATTAACAGAAAAATACTTAAGTTGTCTTAGTGTCCTAACAAGAGGTATTTATGATGATCAGAAGTATTCGAATTCATGTTAAAACAAGGAATTCCCGAAATGGTGCAATTTACTCTAAGTAGAACTAGATGAGAACAAATGAACGTGTAATATTAGGAATTCTCAATCAGCGGGCCATCAAGTACGGAAGAATCATTAACTCATACAAATACGACAGTACGCTCTCACAGAACCAAATCAGCAAGTTACGAACATTCGACTTCAGAGGTTTTGTCCAGATTTCATACTATTTTCCCACATACAACTACATCAACGTATGAAAACCACTGAATAGTATTACATGTATTCAGAGATCACTCAGTGATCAATAACAAACATGATAAGGTATGCGTTTAATATGGACCAGTTTAAGTCCCTAAACGTTACATGTACTCGGTGGGAGGAAACTAATGATAGTAAAAACAAAGAACGTAAACTAACAACATCACTATGTATTTGGTGAACGAAATGACAAATATGGTTGGAACGGAACATATAAAATTCAGGAAGGGTAAGTATAAACTGATAGTGAAATTTGGGATCTAGGGCAAGATGAAATGTCAGTATCTCTGTACCATTGAGATTGACGTCAAGTTACGTCACTTATAATAACCAATTATATATTTTGTTTGTGTTGTGGATGTAAATCACAGCAAAGACAGGCCTATATCATTCCTTTATTTTGCTTTGTCACACTTTTCTTAGACTACTTCAACGATAAGCATCATAACAAGTCAGAACATTCGTTGACTAAGCTTGAGTAGCACTTTTCCGGTGATTTCACTCTATTCATAGTACCATCGATCAACTTACCACCATTTTTACCTGGTATCCTATGCCTTACCTCAACACTGTTGGCCTAGTTATCCAACCGACAAAGCTTCAATTTATTTATTTGAACACATAAATATTGGTGCAATAAGGCACCGAATACATCTGTGCCACACAGGTCACTTGATTTGTGTGTGGGATGTGGTACTGGCCGGGTGCTCAGACCAAAGCAATTGGTTTTCCAAAGTGGCCACGCCCGGAGCATTCGACCTAAAGGTCGAACATGAATTCCACTTTCGTAGGCTAATTCAAATATCAGCCCACCATAAGCTTTGATTCAACTAATGGTTTATAGGTAAAGAGCGTCTGAATGATATTCGTACTTATTTAATGCACCTTTCAATACATACACTTCCACAACGTCTCTCAGTCGACAGAGTTGAGTGCCAGTATCGTGTCAAGAAAGGTGGTCACAGTCACACTGTAGTAGATTTGCCTATGTTTCTGAATCTACTGTATGGTGAATATCTGATCTATGAGCTCAACGTTGGTTCAGAAACCCATCGGATTTCTTCGAGTGTCTTGTCATTGAGCTCTGAATGAATGTGGAAGGGTTATAGAAGCTAACATTCACTCAATGAGATATGTAGTATCGTAAGAAGTAATAATAAGTTATTCATCAAAATCAATAATTTTCTATTTTTCCAGAAGACATTCAACTTCAAGATATAATCAAAGTTAGTTGTATTATTTTAAAAATGTAAGGTCAGATTTTTGAAACAGTGTGAAGTCGTGTTGCTCGTACTTTGTTCCAATTGGTTCATTGTGAGACCGCCAAAAATTAACTCATGGATGTTGTAATCCAATTAAGCATAGACTGAAAACGGAGTTGTATACTCACATCAGCTAGTCATTTAAACTAGGTTTGGTTCATGGTAAGAATATGAAATAAAATTACGTAATGATGGTAAGATGTAAAATCTAAAAGAATTACGACACGAATACGAATATCCTACTCTAACCGATTTTTCACCATATATCACCTAAGTTCTCTAACCATTGATTATGATTATCGTGCAGATGTCAGCCAGAACTATGGATCTCCTATCACAACTCAGTGCAATATTTAATGACTTCATAGACCTATGCCATATTCTCCTCATAGAATCCACTGTTATCAACTACTAACTAGTATCAATTGAATTATGAAAATGAAGACAAATCCTGTGGAATCATTTATTCTATTTGAGAAATAACATTCAACTAATGATTACGGGAGATACACAAGTTCATGGTAGCAAAATGTGGTTTGAAGTAACAAGACGAATTAAACCGAACAACAGATTACTACCTATTACAAACAAGAATCTACACGGAGATGCACACATATACACGCAAGAACATTGATGAAAAGTGATGTAAGCAAAAATAAACCAATAAACAAACAGCACAATGCGAGGATGATATACTTGGTACAGTATTCAAAATTTAGAAAAATAACTGGCTTTTCGACAAGTACTTTAGAATGAATAAATTTTCAGTAAACTTTGAATATGTAGTGTCTGAAAATGTATGACTTTTGATAAAAACGAAAATGTATTGACATGTTTAGCACGTTGTTATCTGTGACAGCAAACGAAATGATAAAAACCTCAAATCATGATGTATAAATATGGGAAAAGTTTGTATCCTGAAGGGAAAAATAACGTCTCCGGATAAATCTATTACAAGGAAATTATGTACTTTACCATACTTCAAATGTGCTTCGAAGACTTCAGTGTATACTGGATGACGTTACAACTGACCAATGATACTATTTGTTATGTTGGAAAATGATATGAATGATTGTAGAATTTCAAAAGATTATCTAATCTGTTACACAAATCACATTAACAGACGACATGCAAAAACACAATGAAAATAATGATTAGCATTAAATATTGGAGGTGATTTAATTCTCGTTCCACAACAACTTATTTACTAGCTGCATGTGATTTCTCTGATTGTATCGGTGTTGGTACAGTGGTTGTAGTTGTAGTGATCAATGTTACTTCTCCGCTGGTGGTGGTATTTGTTGTTAGATTACTAAAGTCGTCGGCAAATCCATTATTGACACAGTCACTAATGTGCTCATCTAAATCACTGCAACCAATCAATTCACCTGAGCTACCACTTGTATTCAACGCTTTCTCTCCACCATTACCATTATCAATATCGTTATTATTCTTTTCATTATTACCATTATTATCGAAGAAAGGATTTTCGACTTCGATTTCACCAGTCTATTAAAATAAGTAAGTATTAAGAAGGAGCAATTTAGTTTAATAAAATTATCTCAATGATAATTTGATAGAGTGTGATAGAATTTTGAAATCTAATGTTACGAGTATTCAATGGAGTTTGAAGTTTTGATTAGATAGATACATTAGTGTCTCAACCAAGCCAGGTGTCTTCAAATGTTTTACAATATGTGGTAAGTGAAACTATTTCATTTATTTTTTATCGGTGTAACAATTATTGAACTAGTGTCGTTACTATGTCCTGTCGTAGAACACCAGGCTGTCTAGTTCAACTGACTTCTTAATGCAATAAAAGAGTGGCATGGCGTTTGTTATTGTCAAGTACTATTTTTAACAGTTGATCAGTTACAATTAGGACAGACTCGATAATACTATGAAGTAAAGAAATATCGCTCTTGCCTTAAAGCTGTGGCAGACTAAAAATACAATTACCATATATAGTAACAAACGTATTAAATAATATTGTATAAAATTAGATAATGATACACAGTCTAGAACTACACAATTAAAGTTTGTACATTCCTTTTTAAGTGCTGGGTATGGAGTGTTGGATCGGTCATTAAATCTACAATTATAACGTATAATCAATATTTACTAAGTATAGCGTATAATCCAAACATACTATATATAATCCAGTAATGAGAAAAATATGATCTGTGAGCACATATAACAGTTACATCAATGGTCTGTCAATATGGCGACCGAGCAAATAAGAAAAAACAGTGGTATAATATGGTATGATATTGAGAACAACAATCAGTATTCCAAAAAACGGAGTGTGAGTACCCAAAGGGTTCAGGGTCATATGTAAACAACCTTTTTTATAGTCAGTAACTATGATTGTTTAATTCAAATGGAATTATGAAACGTGTGAATAATAACGAAAACTATTTTTAAAAATACGTCTGTTGTGAATTCTAATCGAATCTATGCAATCTAGAATCTGTGAATATTTCAGAGTATGAGAGCGGATATGATGATGCACCTAGAATCTTCACAATGTATTTGATTGATGATCAGCCAACGAAATACTGATTTCAATTATTCAGTAACAAATAGCGTTTAGTGCTCGTAAGATGTACCATGTGAACAAGAAAGAACAGTTGTTTATTTTAGATGGACTGTAGTAAAGTAACAAAAACATTATTCAAGCAGTTAGTTGTGCACTCAAGTAATCAGTCAAATTTGCACTATATCAAATAATGTACTATCGACGTATGGAAAATGTACGCATTTCACTGTTTATGAAATTCATAATGATCAGCCTACAATCAAACATCTCATTGTAATGTACTTTGAGAACTTCCTCTCCAACTGTCCTGTGATTTGGTGATGATCACGACATAAACACGAACCAGACACATGATATCATTACATCTTACATCCATGTTCACAATTCACGAACACTCACTAGATTAGTTGATTATAATCTATGTATTCAATATATGTAGAATATTAGTATGAGAGTTTTTGGTTAGTGCTGAATGAGTATTAACATGTATATAACTTGTACCAGTTAAACTGACAAACATAAGTAATTCAAAGCTACATTCCGATCAAATATTCCTTGCTTCCAGAAATTTCATACGGGTCCTCAAATTATTTAAAATAATATTCTGCGAGTAATGTACGATAAACGCATTTTGTAAAAACTCACGATTTAACAGATTCACATATCTGGAGAAATTATTCTCAAGAGGTATCGACGAAATGTAACATCAAAGGCAGAGTCCATTCTGACCTACTTAATCTAAGATGTAGATATTTTATTGAAATCGCTAACCCATTAATGTTAAACCAACACTGGACGGGACTCCTCAGGAGCGCGCACCCACGACCACGCACGCAGCCACTTAACCTCTACACAACTAGGCTAGCATTCAACAGTATCAGTGTCTAACACCAATCAATCCACGACGTTGTACACGAGCTTAATCTTTAAATCCACCCACTTTATTTTACTCACACTTTTGTCTAAAGCGCCTGCGTAACTATTCACAGAAGACAAAGTTAATCAGAAAACTAAGTTTATTTTAATAACAATTGCGAAAAAAACACCATAAAACAAATGACGTCTTTGTAAAAAGGTCACACCCAGCATTCTGTTGACAGTTTTAGAAGGGAGTTGCAGCTCTGTCTGACAAATATTTCGCCAATCTCGGTGAACTGGCTAATAGATTTTCCCTATGTTTATGGATCTCCGGATACTTGCCAGTTAGAAATTCTTTATCCAGATCAGTCACATGGTCAATGACAGCAATCAGAACTAAGTCGGCTAGAGTAACTTTATCCCCAACAGCCAGCTTGCCTGTGGACGCTTTCAGAGATTCGCAGATAATCTAGATGAATGTTGAACAAAAGAATGGACAGTTTAGTTAATTAATAAAAGTCTTCATCACCTAATTTGTCTCTTTTAAAAAATACAGTTTCGTTTAAACTGACAGTGGATAACGACATTAATTATCAACCTCAGTTGATATTTTTAAGAAATACCAAAACAAATGACTCACCATGTAAGTGCCCAACGCTTACTACTTTCTACTGACGATCAAAATTTTCCGCGTCCCTATTTAACCTGTTTGTTTGATGAATGTACAATAAGTGCATGACTTTCCAATTCTCCAAATTTCTGTCTCATCACAAAGCTTATCAGAAATTCAAACTACCGGTTCTACCAAGTAACTTATCTTGATTGATACACATTTAGTTGTCAGATATGTAGTGTCCGTTCATATGTTGAACTCACACAACTTATGCTAGCTTCTGAACAGGCCGATCTATTCATTCTTGTTAAGTCGCATCTTGTTACTTATTCACTTGTCAACCCTGACTATTTTTATATGGGCGTATGTGTGTGTATGCCTTAACCTACTCATCACGTCTGTAGCCTATTTTTGTGTGACTACATATATTAATTAACGCTTGATTAAATCGAGTTGGCTCACGTTCCTTCTTTACCGTGCATTATATCGTTTCGCTTCGTTCCTTTGATCGTCCGCCTGCATCAATGATTGTACAAAATAGACGCATTCGGAATCATTTCTCGTATTCGAATTATTGTAATTCTGTTGACCATTGACGCGAGTTAACTGAATAACTATATACGAGGATAGCCAGGATGTATATTTTGACAACAATCATTCATACAATCTAATTCGAGTCGGATATAGGGCCACGAAAATGATGAGCCCGACGTGATATTTTGAGAATCTATCATATGAAACAGCAATTGCAATGATTCCTTCCCAAATTCACACTTCTCCACGTTAATCTTCACGCATTGTCCTTCAAGTTTGGTAAACAACTGTCGTAAATGTTTTTCCATAGTAGCGCTAGCTACTAGTATATCATCGATACATGCATATACTCCTATCAAAGCTCTAACGACCTGATCAATGAATCGCTGGAAGGTTTGAGCTGCATTAGTTAATCAAATAACCCAAATGGATGTGGTAATAAGCCCTAACAAGATCAATCTTTGAAAAGATCGTGCCACCTCCTATATCGATAGTGATGTCGTGGATGTGTGGCACCGGATATCTATATGCCATACTTTGTTTATTAGAGACTCTATAATCTCCACATGACCTGATTTCTCCATTCTTTTTGGGAACCATGTGCAATAGCGATGCTAAGGGACTGTTAGATGGCTATTGTTTCGCAAACCTTTTTGGGTCTAACATTTGTGGTCACGCGTTAGTTGGTGAGTCTTTGGTTACGACAGTCAGTCAGTAGCAACGTAGGACTTCGTACGTACGTACATCAGTTCGAGTTGCCACACTACATTAGCACAGAGATACAGTTGTCGATTCAAATTCCATAGTGGTAGAGGTAGTAAGAGTATAAGCAGTACGGTTTGAAGATGTTATTCAAGGAGTACAATTCAATGAAATAAATTTTAAAAAAGCGAAAAAAGACATGAAGAATTCAGAAGATTAGAATTTGGGAGAGCACAAAGAGTGTATGCACCTGCGTTATTGCAAACAATATTGAGCCATGTCATTAAGGGTCTCTAACCATCGGCTGCTATCATCTCACGGGTCCCAACCAGGTAGTCTACACCTACCAACATGACTCAGACCACTTGTCAGTGACTTCATGGATTTGTGCCATGTTTTGGTCTGGCCGCCCCTAGTTTTCTTCCAACCTACTCCTATACCACTCAACATCGCACGTCGAGGCAGTCGGTCGTTGGGCGTACTTAACACGTGTCCCATCCATCTCAACTGATGAAGTTTCACTACTTCATCAATGGATTTGCCATCCTTACCTAGTATCCGTTTCCTAACAACTGCGTTACTTACTCAGTGGTCCCAGGATATACGACCAATGCTTCGAAAACACCTATGATCAAATACTATTAACCTACGAATATCCTCTACTCTTACCAGCCATATTTCACTGCCATAAAGTAGGACGGAATGAACTGCTGTGCAGTAAACCTGTTCTTTGGTTGGTAGACGGATATCTCGCCTACTCCATAAATGACGCAAGTTAGCAAAAGCTAGTCAAGCCTTTTGTATCCGTGCTGAGATTTCGTCACACACCAAACCACAAGGGCTGATGAGACTTCCAAGATAAGTGAAGCGGTCGACATGCTCAACTACTTCACTCCCTATCATTAATTCGGGTGTCGGTGCAACCCAATCCTGAAGTAGCATTTTATGTTTCGAGGGGAAAAATCGCATTTCGAATATGCCTGCATTGTTGCTTATAGTGGTCAGAAGACTCTGCAGTTCGTGAGCGTCTTCTCCAAACAGAACTATGTCATCGGCATATTCCAAGTCAAGAAATGAATCTCCTGGTAGAATTTCAGCCCCTGTAAATTTAGATGAGGAAAGTGTTATCTCTAAAAGCACGTCAACGACAAAGTTAAACAAGAATGGAGAGAGTGGACAGCCCTGACGAACACCACTTGAGGTAATCAATCCTGATGACAGTTCGCCATAAACTCTCACTCTATCAGTTGTGTTCGAGTAGAGAGCCTTTATAAGGTTAATGTACTTCTTTGGTACTCCTTTCGGTGACAAACACTGCCATAGAACCTCACGACCAACATAGTCAAACGTCGCCTGAGAATCGATAAATACTGTGTGTGTCTATGTTCTAGGACCTGACGTATTGTGAATATCTGGTCTATAAATCCACGTCCAGGTCGAAAACCAGCCTGATTTTCTCTAGTCTGTTCTTCACGAGCATTGGTTAGGCGTTGAAGTATTATTGAAGCTAATATTTTAGACACTATATTATTCAAACTGCTTCCTCTGTAATTGTCACAAGAGGACTTTTGTCCTTTCTTATAGACTGGCACAATCAGATGAGATTACTTCCAGTTCCCAAATTCTATATAAGACCTCAGGTAATCTCATTGCTAATACTGGACCATCATCCTTAAAAATCTCAGGGGTAAACCTGTCAGGGCCTGCTACTCTCCCTCGCTCCTATAGCTTTTTCAACTTCGTAGAGTCGGAGGACTTACATTAACGTTCCATTCAGGTCGACTGGAGATCGTGGGAAACTGAAGTGTGGCTCAAGGCCAGTTGAACTGATCCCTAAAGTGTTCTGCCCATCGATCCAATCTCCTGGATTGAGAATGAATAATATGTTCATCTTTTTCCGAGATTGTTTCGCCTACAGTTGGGTTCCTAATACCGGTTTCCTTAACAAGTCTGAACAGTTGTCTGCTGTTGCCCATTGCCGCTGCCTTTTCCATCTCTCGTGCTTTCGCTAACCACCACTGTTCGCGATCACTGCGTGGGCTTCTCGTCAACTTGCGCTTGTGTATTTTTGTACAATATAGAATTCTGAGCTCAAAGTAATTCAACACGTTTCCTTTTCTTATTTTTTGGTCGACATATGAATAGCGTACATCTATTTCGATGCATATTGCCAGCAACCAAAATGTCTCTGACTGGGCTCTTTTGTAACTTACACAGTGAAATGTCTTAAACTTTTCACAAACGCACCTGAATAGGTTATGAGACTTACAGGCATAATGATGCGTTAAAACAAACAAAAACAGACAATGTATGACTTAATTTGTCCTACAGATATACTACTAGAACCGTAAACGCGATACTGACGAGCATAGAGTTTACGTAAAAGCTATAGTCAGAACAAGGACAACTTGGCTTTAAACTTTATCTGTTTCAACTAGTACTACGTGTCTTATTGAAATGAATAAAATTGAGTCACATCAATATAGTAGGATAATAGTCTTTCAATTGGTAGGTCACATGCGACAGGGATAGTTTACAGACACATCAGACCAGATTGGTGTGGTGGTCGCCTAAACAACGATTTAATTGGTTAGTTATGAACATAACTAACAGACAGCACTTCGATGTTGAAAGCTTGTATATGAGGGTGGTCAGTCTACTTAAGTTATGTGATCGTCAGTTTCAACACTGATGACTTTCAATAGAACCTATCTTCATGTCCATCCAGACTATGATTATCAACGAAAATTGAAAGAACCACTACAAATCGTTTCCGATATAATCAATACACACAATCAGCTTACACCCATTAAAGCCATGTTGTTAATACAAACATTAATCATAAAACGAATAATACGTAGGGCTTTTAGTCATGTCGACACTAAAACGTTTTTGACTTTGTATACAATGTTCGTACGTCTTCGAGTTGAGTACTGCATACAAGTGGATAACCCTTGTTTAAAAAAAAGACTGAGTTTCTAGAAAAGGTTTAGAGAACAGCAACTAAGCTGATTCCTGGAATTGCGAAGCTTCTGTATGATGCTCGACTGGCCAAGCTAAACCTTTTCCCGTTGTCATATCGGATAACTAGAGGCGACTTGATTAGTTTTCAAATTGCTTAGTCATAAATTTGCACCTGATATGTCCTCATTTTTCTGGTCTTCCAAAAACAGAGAATTTACGAGGACACTCCAAAAAAGTTCATAAGCCCAGAACAAATTACTTGTCAGCTGACTATCGACTTTCCCATCTAGTCATTAGCGAGTGGAATTAACTACCTCAGCACGTGGTTGAGGCTACAACCGTCGACTCATTCAAAAGAAAGTTGGATCAACCGAGAGACCGCCATTCCCAGGACTAACACAGGCCGTCAAGCCTCATATCCTTTCCAAACTGAAACTACTTTAAAATAACTTACATCGAGAAGAACTGGCACTTTGCCGTTCAGTATCTCTTTGGTTATCTTCTGTTTCTCTTCTTCTGGCTTCATCAAAGTTTTGTAATATTCATGTTCTAGATCTTCAGCCTATGTATTGTAGACAAAATTAAAAAGTTAATGAAAATATGAAGTAAAAGTATAATATAGTGACGACTTTGGGCGACTCATCATTCAATCAGGAGACACTGGATAGTTACAAAACAATCAACAGTTAAAACCAATAAAATATCAGTGAAATAACATCCTTGCTCTGAATAAACAACCTTCACATATCCAAATATTATTTGCAGAAAAGGTAAGACTTCACGACTACACATTAGGAATCGAACTAGTGTTTTGACTAAGGGTTGTCACCATGTAGAGTTTTCATCACCACACAATATATGTGATATCATAAAATGTGCTGAATTAGGAATTAAGAGAAATGATAGTTTTGAGTTGGATTTACAAATTACGATTGTGGTTTTCCTGAGGAGCCGTTTATTTATTTGGACACGTAAAAATTGGCACAAGGCGGCACCAAATATATATATGCATCACACAGTTAAAACGGAGGTTGCGAAGACGATGATGAGTATAATAGCAAAGAGCAACAACGAACAAAAATTAGTGTGTGGGAATGAAATAATAAAAATAATAATATGGGCAGTGGGATGAGAAGACAAAGGTTATCAGAATTGTGATATATTTGCGCAATATATTTCGAGCAATCTGATCACACATACTTGTCAAGACATTATACATGAAAAACAAAAGGTCAACTAAATAGACTAAAGGTTAGCAGAAAGAAAGATAATGATGAAGTACACACAGTCAGTGTGATTACCAATCTGGATAATAAACCACTATTACCGGGACAAGTTGGAGGTAAGAACAAATTGATTTTGAACGCATATAGAGGGTTTCCGCTTCCAACTGACTTGATATCAACCTTAAAACCAGTCTCGACCAAATGTCCATCTTGATCTCGTTAGAACATCGGTAATCATTTGTTTTTGTAACCACTTAGGTGTGCTCAGACGCCCTTATTTGCAGCTCACGATTAGTACTCCCCATATACGTGATTCCATACATACATATAAATTGATAGATACAATAGGATGTGAAACAACCGTTTACATACTGTTTGAGTTTTTGGTGAAACACAAACCTTGACTTTCGATAATGATAAGTTGCGCTGCATAAAACGTCCTATTGATAGCTTATTTTATTTTTCCTTTCAATATGAGACTACTTGAGTCCCCGCTAAGTGATTAGGTTATGCAAACTCTTTTTTGTTTGGTTAAAACGTCGCAGGACTACCCATAGGCACGTTAATCTGTCGATAATAATAATAATAATGGGAGAGGCAGTCCAGTGAAGAAAGAACTTCAATTACTCCCGCCTTAATGAAGTGTAAGAAAGTTACAGCAGGATCGCCACCGTCGTCTGTTCTGAGACACGTGAGATAATGTCTCAAGACCGTGTTGCGCCATCTCTAGGTAAACAACCTACACGAGTTAACCTGTCTGTTTTCCCTTTAGACACGTTGACACTTAGGTATGTACTTACATAAAAGGAGAATCCAGTATAGAATGTCACAAGAACAAGTATTGTCGAGATGTAAACAAATAAAATGAAACACGACGAAGTATTTTCCGGTGGTGAAGTGGATGGTTTCCAGTGAACAGTCAGTCAGTGAGCTACAACGTAGAACCAGACACATATGTGTATTGGTCCAGGTTGCCATACCTCATTAATACAACAAGATGGACACCGGATTCATAAAAGTAGTTAATTCATAGGTGGTAAAATAGAAAAGAAAGATTGCAATAAGGATATAGTACAGGAAGGAATAATAAGTTAGTAGAAAGAAAGATATGAAGTGATTTTAATCTCTTAGTTTAAGGGAAGACAGAGAGTGTATACACTGACGCCATTGTGACCGATTCTGAGCCATGTCACCAAGAGTCTCCAACCATTGGTTACGATAGTCACGCGGACCCCAACCAAGTAGTCTGCATCTACCAACATGGCTCAGACCAGAAGTTTGTGACTTCAAGCACTGATGCCACGTTTTGGTTTGGCCACCCCTAACATTCTTCCAACCATCCCCTACACCGGTTAGCATTGCACGTCACGGTAATCGGTGTTCAGGCATACGTAACACGTAACCCAACCATCTCAGTCGATGAAGATTAACAACCTCATCAACTGATTTACCATCATTCCCTAATACCCTGCGTTTAACCTCACTATTGCTTACCCGGTGATCTCAGCAGGCGCCAGCAATAATACTAAGGCATATGTGGTCAAATACTAGTAGCTTACGAGTGCCTTCTACTCTTAAAGGCCATGTTTCGCTGCCATAAAGTGAAACAGAATGGACTGCCACGCAGTATACTCGTCTTTTAATTGATAGACGGATATCTCGCCTTCGCCAAAGGTGACGTAAGTTGGCAAAAGCCAAACGAGCTTTTCGAATCCGTGCTGAGATTTCATCAGACACCAACCCATTAGGGCTGATCAGACTTCCAAGATAAGTGAAGTTGTCAACGCTTTCGGCTACTTCACTCCCTATCCTTAGTTCAAGTATTGACACAGACCAGTCCTGAAGCAACAACTTGCATTTAGAGGGAGAGAAGCGCATTCCAAACATTCTGACATTGTAGCTGAGTGCTACCAAAAGACTCTGCATTTTATCAGCGTCTTCACCAAACAGGACTATATCATCTGCGTATTCTAAGTCGATAAGTTGACATCCTGGAAGGAGATCAATACCCGAGAATTCAGTCGACGAGAATGTTTTTTCCATCAATAGGTCTATGATGAAGTTAAACAAAAATGGAGAAAGTGGACAGCCTTGACGGACACCACGTGAGGTTGCAAAAGCAGATGACAGTTCGCCATAAGCTCTGACTTGACTGGTAGTGTTCGAGTAAAGAGCCTTCACAAGGTTTATGTACTTCTGAGGTACGCTTTTCAGTGATAGACACTGCCACAGAAGCTCGCAGTCTACAGAGTCAAATGCTGCTTTTAAGTCAAGGAAGACCACCATTGCCCCCGAACGCCCTGGTACGGCCGAGAGTGGGGAGAGTCCGCTCTCCCTCTCGAAATACTCTCACACGGCCGCGTGTATACAGCCTCTGCCAGGGAAGTCCTACTCATTGCCTTCTCGTGGCGGGGGTGTTGTTTACGAAAATGAGAGGACGAAAAGCGAACGTCCGGCGCTTTAACCGGATCACAAACCAATGGTGCACATGGGCACCAGTATCCTGCGGGAACAAATGGCGTATGAACCAATCGTTGGTCACCGGCTACCATGGGATCGCATGTCCTCACGATGTTCCACTGCCTTGTGGGTTAGACCATTAGGTCAAAGGCTCGGGGTGTGGCCCCCTAAGATAACCACCTGCTTCGGTTTGGGCACCCGGGCAGTATCACAGCCCACACACAAACAATGAACTCTATGACTACGGCAACTAATTTCCTCTCTCCGATCAACATTCAATTGATTCAAATAATTGTTAATGTTATTGTCACTATTAATACCATTATTATTATTACCATTATTGTCATTATTGTTATTATTATTATTATTATTTTCCACATTATTCACCCTCCTTTATACTTATACAGCGGCTCGTCTATGGTGGAAATTCGACTGTATCTAAACGTTCTCGAGTCACTGTCCGGTTGAAAATTGTATGTTACCACCGATTACGAGAACTGAAGCAGTTTTTCTGAAACCACGTGCACCATTCAAACTGGCTGCCTTCAACGTTCGCACACTAGTGCAGGTCGGACAACAGATAGGGCTGGCTATGTCTTTGGAAAGTCTCAATATTGATGTTTGTTGTCTATCCGAGACCCGTATTCAAGACTCTGGCGAAGTACTACAAATTCGATCTCCATCTGTCGCTTCGAAAAGCTTGTTTCACGTGCGCTTATCCGGGGACCCTGTGGCATCTTCGTCTGGTCTTGCTGGCGTTGGTGTCGCACTAAGCGCTAGAGCTGAGGCAGCACTAGTCGATTGGATCCCCATTAACAGTCGGTTATGTGCTGTTAGATTAGAAAGTTCCATCAAAGTGAGAAGAAATCGGCGTGAGAAACGATGTCTTTTCGTCATCTCCGCCTATGCCCCGACAGATTGCAGCCCGGATGCAATCAAGGATGAGTTTTACCACCAGTTATCTGTTCTTCTCCAGAAAGTGCGTTCGACAGATATTGTAGTACTAGCCGGAGACTTGAATGCGCAGGTCGGGCGTCTAGGCACAGAAGAGAGTCGTTTAGGTGGCCGATGGGGACTCGTTGGTCGCAGGTCAGATAACGGGGACCGTCTACTGCAACTTTGCACAGACCACAACCTGTTTCTGGCTAGCACTAACTTTCGGCACAGTCATCGCCGATGTGCCACCTGGCGTCCTCCCTCTGCATCCCAAGCCTGGACTCAGATTGATCACATCGCGATCAGCTTCCGCTGGCGTGGTTGTGTAAAAGACTGCCGCTCCTTTTGGAGTACCTATCTGGACTCTGACCATGCCTTGGTCTGCGCCAATCTTGCCTTACTTTTCAGTGGACAACGAAGTGACCACCACCAAAGGATTGATATTAGCAAGCTGGTTGCAACCTCTGTTGCAAATAAGTATCGAACCGAGCTAGCTTCTAGGCTAGCTACCACTCCACCGAAAAGTATAGATGAGCATTGGTTGCAATTGCATGACGCCATGAAAATGGCGGGAACAGTCAGTTGTGGGTTTGCGAAACGTCCCGCTTATAAGCACTGGGTTTCTTCTGGTTCCTTACAACTTATTGAAGCCCGTCGGTCGACTCCGGGTGACCGTGAGTTTGACCATAAACGAAGGATGTTACGTAGGGAAATTGGGCAAAGCTTGCGTAAGGACCGAGAAGCCTGGTGGTCGGAGCGTGCTAATGAGATGGAAGCAGCAGCTGCATCTGGTAACTACCGGAAGCTCTTCCAGCTCATCCGAGCCACTGGCAGCAAGAAGTCTGGTGTGAGTGAAACAATCTGCGAGGATGATGGGATGCCAATCACTAACATCCATCGACGTCTTGGACGATGGGCAGAATTTTTCGAAGGGCAGTTCAACTGGCCTGCTGCTCCGGCAACATCGGTCAGACTGTCCTGCCCTCCATGGCCGGTGACGACTGATCCACCGAACGAGGAGGAAGTCCGCAAGGAACTCCAACTCTTGAAGCGTTACAAATCACCTGGCCCAGATGACTTACCTCCGGCTCTTTTTAAAGATGGTGGTGACTTTTTGACTAAGGAATTGACGACGTTGTTTACAAAGGTTTGGGAATTAGAGAGTGTACCAACGTCATGGAATGAGTCGATAGTTGTCCCTATCTTTAAAAAGGGTTCACGTCGTTCCTGCAACAACTATCGGGGGATAAGTCTACTTCCGATCGCGTCCAAGCTATTGGCTTCCGTCATACTTCGTAGGTTGTTCAAAACCCGAGAAAGATTGACTCGCGAGGAGCAGGCTGGGTTTCGTTCTGGTCGAGGTTGTATTGATCATATCTTCACCCTCCGCCAAATGTTAGAACATCGCCATACTTATCAAAGGCCAACAATCGTAGTGTTTCTTGACATCAGGGCTGCCTTCGATTCGTTGGACAGGACTGTTCTCTGGGATTGTCTATTGAAGAAGGGTGTGCCTGAGAAGTTTATTAACATCCTAAAAGCCCTATATAAAAACACCTCAGGCAGAGTGAGGGCATACAACCACCTCTCTCCATTGTTCTATACGAGTAGTGGGGTTAGGCAGGGTTGCCCAATCTCACCATTCCTCTTCAACTTTGCCATCGATGACATTCTGGAAACAGCTCTGATGAATGTAAGTAATGGTGGTGTGGATCTGTTGCCTGGAGAAAGACTTCTCGACCTTGAGTATGCGGACGATATTGTCTTACTGTGCGATAATGCCCAAGGCATGCAATCCGCACTTAATCAGTTGGCAATCAGTGTCCGTAGGTATGGTATGTGTTTTGCACCTTCGAAGTGCAAAGTACTTCTACAAGACTGGCAGGATTCCAATCCTGTACTCACCCTGGATGGTGAGCAGATAGAAGTAGTCGAGAAGTTCGTGTATCTGGGTAGCTGCATAAGTGCTGGTGGGGGTGTGAGTGATGAGATCAATGCACGTATAGTGAGAGCCAGAGCGGCTTATGCCAATCTGGGCCACCTTTGGCGCCTTCGTGATGTTAGTCTGGCTGTAAAAGGTCGGATCTACAACGCGTCGGTGAGAGCAGTTTTGCTCTATGCTTGTGAAACCTGGCCTCTCCGAGTTGAGGACGTTAGACGACTCTCTGTGTTCGATCATCGCTGTCTCCGAAGGATTGCTGACATTCAGTGGCAACACCATGTTAGTAATGCAGAGGTTCGGCATCGTGTGTTTGGGCACAGAGATGATAATTCAATTGGTGTCACCATCTTGAAACACCGACTTCGGTGGCTTGGACATGTTCTACGAATGTCGTCCCAGAGAATTCCACGTCGTGCATTGTTTGCCGACTCTGGGACTGGTTGGAAGAAGCGGAGAGGTGGTCAGTGCATGACATGGTGTCGTGGTATGAAAGAAAGTTGCAAAGGACTGGCTTCTGTCGGTTCTTCACGACTCCCTGGTTGGGGTCTGAGAGATGGTGCTACACAGTGGCTAGAGACGTTATCAGATATGGCTCAGAATAGAAGCCAGTGGCGATCCTGCTGTAACCTTCTTTTACTTTCTTCATAAAAAGTGGTTGTGTCTCCCTTACTTGAAAGATTTCTTCCGATTGTACCTTTCCGTTCCATCGTTACGACCGCACTACCTTTCACCAATCTCTTTGTTATCGTTCTCTTTTTCTTTTGTGCTCCTTAGTTTTTTTCTTTTTTTTTCTTTTCTCTCTTCGAATTTTCATTGTTTTGTGTGGCGCATATATATTGGCGCTCTCTTGTACCAATATTTATGTGCTCAAATAAATAAATAAATAAAATAATACCATTGTCGGACGCCGATAGGTATGCCTGTGTTCTAGAACCTGACGAATGGTGAATATGAGGTCGATGCATCCATGACCAGGTCTGAAGCCAGCTTGATTCTCTCATGTTTGCAGTTCACGAGTCTTAGTTACGCGTCTAATAATTATCGAGGCTAGTATTTTGGATACTATATTAGTTAAAATAATTGGATTAGAGGTGGTCTTAGTGACCTGGGAGCGTGACCTCAGTGCCCAAGGGACAACTGCTTGAGGTCGGTCACACACGACCTTTATTATGGCTAATTTTTGTGTTAGCTCCGTTCTTCTTGAGACCTAAGCGCCGTAGACGGATATCCATGGGATAATGCGAAGTGTACATTCTTAGAGTCGACCGTTTTTAACCCCACCCCTCGTTGTAGGAAGGCAGCATCGCTGTCATTGCTGGTTGTCTGAAGGAAACACCTTACTGCTGTCACACCTCTGAACAGTCAGCAGTACGATTTCGCCTTCGGACATTGGGTTTGTTACTTTAAGTCTTACCGCTCTTCAACCTGCCTGTCTGACATGGTAGGACCTTGACGAACGGTTGTTCCAGCCAGTATAGCTCGGTTGCTTCATCACGATAGGTAAGCCCGACCACCACGTCAAGGTAGCAACAACGGTCGGGAGTGAACACCATTACGATACGGCAAATGAGTAATTTATTTGTAATATTCCGAATTGGTAGAAAACTTCAGTCTTAGTCACTTTTTTTTAATAATTGGGATATTTCAAATTTATCATGATTTTTAGTAATCACAACACATTAGTTAACACTCGCCTATAAATTCAAACTTTATTTATTCGACGCAATAAGTTAAACTCACAGGACTCCAACAGCATAAAATTCCACCAATCAGTAAAACGCCTAACTCACCTGACCAATCAATTTCTCAACATTATAATACTCTTCCTCTGTTCCTCCCATCATATGATGCTTCTTCGCCATATACCGTGCAATAGCCAAACTCTCTACCATCCATTTCACGTGCCCATGACTATCGGTGATTTTCACTGCAGGCAATCGTCCACCCGGAATAGTTGGTTTGATTTTCGGCCAATCTTGGAAACTAATTCTCTCATCTTCGTAGTTCACACCAGCTGCCACAAGTGTCATCCGGATCGATTCAGCTCGTCCGCGTCCGTTAAAATAGACAACCTATAGAAACTACAGCTTAGTGTTTTACATCACTTTTTGCTCGAAAACAGTTCTATCATCCAAGTCCTAACCACTTCAGAAAAACTATCACATAACAGATAACTGCTCCATGGATTACATATCTCTGAAATATGAACCAGATGGACTCTCTAGAACCCTCTAGGTTCTCGCAGCAATTTCACAGGCAAACCATAACATTTCCTGAAATACTACACCTAACTTTTCTTAAAACAAACACTGGGTGGTTACTATGTGACTATAATGGTTGTGCATCATATCAGAACTAAGTCTGAACACGTAATTTAGTGGCTTAATGAGGTGAAAAATCACTGCTAATTATGTGTACAGATTTACTGTGCAATCGATATGACTCAGTATTTACTTTCATGCCGCAAATAATATTTATTCTACCAAATACTGCAATTGGGAACCTCAACAACACTCGAAAACCCACCAAGTGACACAAGTGACTAAAAACAACCAAACCAACCTTGATGTGATCACCAGTCATCGTACAGTCAGACAAAACAATGTGAATTAATTAAGCAGTGACTTAAATAGTCATCTGGTAAATAAATCCACCAATAGTGCAACTACTGCATTGTTTAAGCTGTAAATATTTCATTTCTATTCGCTGAGCCATTGAGTGTCTCATTGGCTGTGAACAAGTGACCAATAAAAATTAAGCAGGTAAGTTTAACACGACTCATCGAGCATATAAACCGTTTTTCAACGATGGTTCATTTAATATACTTTTGCTTATTTTATTGATAGTATGCGTTAGCAAGCTGATTTAACTAAGGCTATCATGTTAGGATAGTATATCCATGATCAAGACATCTGAAAACAAATTAACACTAAAGAACCAGTCAATTAACCTGATTTCATGAAAAAAGTATGACTTCAATAATCAGCAAACGCGAAAATGTTAAGTATAGCCTAGTTGATTGGACACTGTTTATACTAACAATTTATCCTGATCAAGTGATGTTTGTTTCCGAATAATGCCATAATTATGTAGCTGTGAGTAGACAGACTTCATTAAATTCTTAACATCCTGCTTAACAATATCATATGCATCTTTGTGATCTCAGGCAAAGTTCTCACAGTTATCAGTAATATTTCCTAGAAATAAGTTGATAAAAAACGCTTCATTTGGCGATTTAAAATGTCATGCACACTTTTTAAACTAATGATCACAGTAGTTTTTCACTTCACTAATTTTGTTTCAGTCGATACTTGATTGATTCTCTCAGAAGTGATTGGAGTACCCAAGTTTTTGTTCCAATCCATTGTAGTGGCTACCCCTTAGGTTTGTATCTAAGTCTAAAAGATGCCATTCTATGCTAACTCATAACACTTAGTGACTCAGATGTTTCAATGACTATTGATCAGAACTAACAATCAACTGGTGGGGTTTTTAGAAAGTTATAGTTCAAGCAACCAGCTCATCCAGAGAGAAGTCGAGTGGATTTATTCCATTCACATGATTAAGCTTTTATCCAGGTAAATGAAGTGTACTGGACATTTAAAGTTTCTGTTCGTGAGCCTCTTTTTTCAACTCGATCATTTTCTCGCATACCCATTCCAGTGAACTGTATATCCTTCTATTTAGTTGTTCTGTAATGACGCATACTATCGATTACTTAAGGATAGATTCAAACACAGTATTTTCGAATATTGCATCTAATAGATCAACACTCAATAATAGGAATTTTTCGACCTCAGTGAATCTATCGCATAAAACGATTACCGTCTATTAAGTATTCTTATTCACTTCCCACTTAGTGAAAATTTATATGAACTACCATACAATAGTGGCCAAATTAGATTCATCAGAGAATTAATAGAAAAATACTTAAGTTGTCTTAGTGTCCTAACAAGAGGTATTTATGATGATCAGAAGTATTCGAATTCATGTAAAAACAAGGAATTCCCGAAATGGTGCAATTTACTCTAAGTAGAACTAGATGAGAACAAATGAACGTGTAATATTAGGAATTCTCAATCAGCGGGCCATCAAGTACGGAAGAATCATTGACTCATACAAATACGACAGTACGCTCTCACAGAACCAAATCAGCAAGTTACGAACATTCGACTTCAGAGGTTTTGTCCAGATTTCATACTATTTTCCCACATACAACTACATCAACGTATGAAAACCACTGAATAGTATTACATGTATTCAGAGATCACTCAGTGATCAATAACAAACATGATAAGGTATGCGTTTAATATGGACCAGTTTAAGTCCCTAAACGTTACATGTACTCGGTGGGAGGAAACTAATGATAGTAAAAACAAAGAACGTAAACTAACAACATCACTATGTATTTGGTGAACGAAATGACAAATATGGTTGGAACGGAACATATAAAATTCAGGAAGGGTAAGTATAAACTGATAGTGAAATTTGGGATCTAGGGCAAGATGAAATGTCAGTATCTCTGTACCATTGAGATTGACGTCAAGTTACGTCACTTATAATAACCAATTATATATTTTGTTTGTGTTGTGGATGTAAATCACAGCAAAGACAGGCCTATATCATTCCTTTATTTTGCTTTGTCACACTTTTCTTAGACTACTTCAACGATAAGCATCATAACAAGTCAGAACATTCGTTGACTAAGCTTGAGTAGCACTTTTCCGGTGATTTCACTCTATTCATAGTACCATCGATCAACTTACCACCATTTTTACCTGGTATCCTATGCCTTACCTCAACACTGTTGGCCTAGTTATCCAACCGACAAAGCTTCAATTTATTTATTTGAACACATAAATATTGGTGCAATAAGGCACCGAATACATCTGTGCCACACAGGTCACTTGATTTGTGTGTGGGATGTGATACTGGCCGGGTGCCCAGACCAAAGCAATTGGTTTTCCAAAGTGGCCATGCCCGGAGCATTCGACCTAAAGGTCGAACATGAATGCCACTTTCGTAGGCTAATTCAAATATCAGCCCACCATAAGCTTTGATTCAACTAATGGTTTATAGGTAAAGAGCGTCTGAATGATATTCGTACTTATTTAATGCACCTTTCAATACATACACTTCCACAACGTCTCTCAGTCGACAGAGTTGAGTGCCAGTATCGTGTCAAGAAAGGTGGTCACAGTCACACTGTAGTAGATTTGCCTATGTTTCTGAATCTACTGTATGGTGAATATCTGATCTATGAGCTCAACGTTGGTTCAGAAACCCATCGGATTTCTTCGAGTGTCTTGTCATTGAGCTCTGAATGAATGTGGAAAGGTTATAGAAGCTAACATTCACTCAATGAGATATGTAGTATCGTAAGAAGTAATAATAAGTTATTCATCAAAATCAATAATTTTCTATTTTTCCAGAAGACATTCAACTTCAAGATATAATCAAAGTTAGTTGTATTATTTTAAAAATGTAAGGTCAGATTTTTGAAACAGTGTGAAGTCGTGTTGCTCGTACTTTGTTCCAATTGGTTCATTGTGAGACCGCCAAAAATTAACTCATGGATGTTGTAATCCAATTAAGCATAGACTGAAAACGGAGTTGTATACTCACATCAGCTAGTCATTTAAACTAGGTTTGGTTCATGGTAAGAATATGAAATAAAATTACGTAATGATGGTAAGATGTAAAATCTAAAAGAATTACGACACGAATACGAATATCCTACTCTAACCGATTTTTCACCATATATCACCTAAGTTCTCTAACCATTGATTATGATTATCGTGCAGATGTCAGCCAGAACTATGGATCTCCTATCACAACTCAGTGCAATATTTAATGACTTCATAGACCTATGCCATATTCTCCTCATAGAATCCACTGTTATCAACTACTAACTAGTATCAATTGAATTATGAAAATGAAGACAAATCCTGTGGAATCATTTATTCTATTTGAGAAATAACATTCAACTAATGATTACGGGAGATACACAAGTTCATGGTAGCAAAATGTGGTTTGAAGTAACAAGACGAATTAAACCGAACAACAGATTACTACCTATTACAAACAAGAATCTACACGGAGATGCACACATATACACGCAAGAACATTGATGAAAAGTGATGTAAGCAAAAATAAACCAATAAACAAACAGCACAATGCGAGGATGATATACTTGGTACAGTATTCAAAATTTAGAAAAATAACTGGCTTTTCGACAAGTACTTTAGAATGAATAAATTTTCAGTAAACTTTGAATATGTAGTGTCTGAAAATGTATGACTTTTGATAAAAACGAAAATGTATTGACATGTTTAGCACGTTGTTATCTGTGACAGCAAACGAAATGATAAAAACCTCAAATCATGATGTATAAATATGGGAAAAGTTTATATCCTGAAGGGAAAAATAACGTCTCCGGATAAATCTGTTACAAGGAAATTATGTACTTTACCATACTTCAAATGTGCTTCGAAGACTTCAGTGTATACTGGATGACGTTACAAGTGACCAATGATACTATTTGTTATGTTGGAAAATGATATGAATGATTGTAGAATTTCAAAAGATTATCTAATCTGTTACACAAATCACATTAACAGACGACATGCAAAAACACAATGAAAATAATGATTAGCATTAAATATTGGAGGTGATTTAATTCTCGTTCCACAACAACTTATTTACTAGCTGCATGTGATTTCTCTGATTGTATCGGTGTTGGTACAGTGGTTGTAGTTGTAGTGATCAATGTTACTTCTCCGCTGGTGGTGGTATTTGTTGTTAGATTACTAAAGTCGTCGGCAAATCCATTATTGACACAGTCACTAATGTGCTCATCTAAATCACTGCAACCAATCAATTCACCTGAGCTACCACTTGTATTCAACGCTTTCTCTCCACCATTATCATTATCAATATCGTTATTATTCTTTTCATTATTATCGAAGAAAGGATTTTCGACTTCGATTTCACCAGTCTATTAAAATAAGTAAGTATTAAGAAGGAGCAATTTAGTTTAATAAAATTATCTCAATGATAATTTGATAGAGTGTGATAGAATTTTGAAATCTAATGTTACGAGTATTCAATGGAGTTTGAAGTTTTGATTAGATAGATACATTAGTGTCTCAACCAAGCCAGGTGTCTTCAAATGTTTTACAATATGTGGTAAGTGAAACTATTTCATTTATTTTTTATCGGTGTAACAATTATTGAACTAGTGTCGTTACTATGTCCTGTCGTAGAACACCAGGCTGTCTAGTTCAACTGACTTCTTAATGCGATAAAAGAGTGGCATGGCGTTTGTTATTGTCAAGTACTATTTTTAACAGTTGATCAGTTACAATTAGGACAGACTCGATAATACTATGAAGTAAAGAAATATCGCTCTTGTCTTAAAGCTGTGGCAGACTAAAAATACAATTACCATATATAGTAACAAACGTATTAAATAATATTGTATAAAATTAGATAATGATACACAGTCTAGAACTGCATAATTAAAGTTTGTACGTTCCTTTTTAAGTGCTGGGTATGGAGTGTTGGATCGGTCATTAAATCTACAATTATAACGTATAATCAATATTTACTAAGTATAGCGTATAATACAAACATACTATATATAATCCAGTAATGAGAAAAATATGATCTGTGAGCACATATAACAGTTACATCAACGGTCTGTCAATATGGCAACCGAGCAAATAAGAAAAAACAGTGGTATAATATGGTATGATATTGAGAACAACAATCAGTATTCCAAAAAACGGAGTGTGAGTACCCAAAGGGTTCAGGGTCATATGTAAACAACCTTTTTTATAGTCAGTAACTATGATTGTTTAATTCAAATGGAATTATGAAACGTGTGAATAATAACGAAAACTTTTTAAAAATACGTCTGTTGTGAATTCTAATAGAATCTATGCAATCTAGAATCTGTGAATATTTCAGAGTATGAGAGCGGATATGATGATGCACCTAGAATCTTCACAATGTATTTGATTGATGATCAGTCAACGAAATACTGATTTCAATTATTCAGTAACAAATAGCGTTTAGTGCTCGTAAGATGTACCATGTGAACAAGAAAGAACAGTTGTTTATTTTAGATGGACTGTAGTAAAGTAACAAAAACATTATTCAAGCAGTTAGTTGTGCACTCAAGTAATCAGTCAAATTTGCACTATATCAAATAATGTACTATCGACGTATGGAAAATGTACGCATTTCACTGCTTATGAAATTCATAATGATCAGCCTACAATCAAACATCTCATTGTAATGTACTTTGAGAACTTCCTCTCCAACTGTCCTGTGATTTGGTGATGATCACGACATAAACACGAACCAGACACATGATATCATTACATCTTACATCCATGTTCACAACTCCCGTACATAAGTCTAAAATAATTAGCCTTTTAAAAAATGATGTAAAATATCATTTTGAAAACACGTTCTCAATCAACAACATACTTGACTCATTCAAGGTACATTAGTATTAAACAGGAAAACAAGTTACTTTTGTACAACCAAACACTACAAGATCTACCACCGAAGTCAGAATCAGTAAGTTGGATCATGATAAATAGTATGTGCCCAATCATTGTAAGCAATAAATGTGTATGCACATAGACCACGTATCATCTAAATCTCTATTTATTGCTGGAAAATGTACGCATTTCACTGCTTATGAAATTCATAATGATCAACCTACAATCAAACATCTCATTGTAATGTACTTTGAGAACTTCCTCTCCAACTGTCCTGTGATTTGGTGATGATCACGACATAAACACGAACCAGACACATGATATCATTACATCTTACATCCATGTTCACAATTCACGAATACACACTTGACTAGTTGATTATGATCTATCTTTTCAATATGTGTAGAATATTAGTATGAGAGTTTTTGGTTAGTGCTGAATGAGTATTAACATGTATATAACTTGTACCAGTTAAACTGACAAACATAAGTAATTCAAAGCTACATTCCGATCAAATATTCCTTGCTTCCAGAAATTTCATACGGGTCCTCAAATTATTTAAAATAATATTCTGCGAGTAATGTACGATAAACGCATTTCGTAAAAACTCACGATTTAACAGATTCACATATCTGGAGAAATTATTCTCAAGAGGTATCGACGAAATGTAACATCAAAGGCAGAGTCCATTCTGACCTACTTAATCTAAGATGTAGATATTTTATTGAAATCGCTAACCCATTAATGTTAAACCAACACTGGACGGGACTCCTCAGGAGCGCGCACCCACGACCACGCACGCAGCCACTTAACCTCTACACAACTAGGCTAGCATTCAACAGTATCAGTGTCTAACACCAATCAATCCACGACGTTGTACACGAGCTTAATCTTTAAATCCACCCACTTTATTTTACTCACACTTTTGTCTAAAGCGCCTGCGTAACTATTCACAGAAGACAAAGTTAATCAGAAAACTAAGTTTATTTTAATAACAATTGCGAAAAAAACACCATAAAACAAATGACGTCTTTGTAAAAAGGTCACACCCAGCATTCTGTTGACAGTTTTAGAAGGGAGTTGCAGCTCTGTCTGACAAATATTTCGCCAATCTCGGTGAACTGGCTAATAGATTTTCCCTATGTTTATGTATCTCCGGATACTTGCCAGTTAGAAATTCTTTATCCAGATCAGTCACATGGTCAATGACAGCAATCAGAACTAAGTCGGCTAGAGTAACTTTATCCCCAACAGCCAGCTTGCCTGTGGACGCTTTCAGAGATTCGCAGATAATCTAGATGAATGTTGAACAAAAGAATGGACAGTTTAGTTAATTAATAAAAGTCTTCATCACCTAATTTGTCTCTTTAAAAAAAATACAGTTTCGTTTAAACTGACAGTGGATAACGACATTAATTATCAACCTCAGTTGATATTTTTAAGAAATACCAAAACAAATGACTCACCATGTAAGTGCCCAACGCTTACTACTTTCTACTGACGATCAAGATTTTCCGCGTCCCTATTTAACCTGTTTGTTTGATGAATGTACAATAAGTGCATGACTTTCCAATTCTCCAAATTTCTGTCTCATCACAAAGCTTATCAGAAATTCAAACTACCGGTTCTACCAAGTAACTTATCTTGATTGATACACATTTAGTTGTCAGATATGTAGTGTCCGTTCATATGTTGAGCTCACACAACTTATGCTAGCTTCTGAACAGGCCGATCTATTCATTCTTGTTAAGTCGCATCTTGTTACTTATTCACTTGTCAACCCCGACTATTTTTATATGGGCGTATGTGTGTGTATGCCTTAACCTACTCATCACGTCTGTAGCCTATTTTTGTGTGACTACATATATTAATTAACGCTTGATTAAATCGAGTTGGCTCACGTTCCTTCTTTACCGTGCATTATATCGTTTCGCTTCGTTCCTTTGATCGTCCGCCTGCATCAATGATTGTACAAAATAGACGCATTCGGAATCATTTCTCGTATTCGAATTATTGTAATTCTGTTGACCATTGACGCGAGTTAACTGAATAACTATATACGAGGATAGCCAGGATGTATATTTTCACAACAATCATTCATACAATCTAATTCGAGTCGGATATAGGGCCACGAAAATGATGAGCCCGACGTGATATTTTGAGAATCTATCATATGAAACAGCAATTGCAATGATTCCTTCCCAAATTCACACTTCTCCACGTTAATCTTCACGCATTGTCCTTCAAGTTTGGTAAACAACTGTCGTAAATGTTTTTCCATAGTAGCGCTAGCTACTAGTATATCATCGATACATGCATATACTCCTATCAAAGCTCTAACGACCTGATCAATGAATCGCTGGAAGGTTTGAGCTGCATTAGTTAATCAAATAACCCAAATGGATGTGGTAATAAGCCCTAACAAGATCAATCTTTGGAAAGATCGTGCCACCTCCTATATCGGTAGTGATGTCGTGGATGTGTGGCACCGGATATCTATATGCCATAGTTTGTTTATTAGAGACTCTATAATCTCCACATGACCTGATTTCTCCATTCTTTTTGGGAACCATGTGCAATAGCGATGCTAAGGGACTGTTAGATGACTATTGTTTCGCAAACCTTTTTGGGTCTAACATTTGTGGTCACGCGTTAGTTGGTGAGTCTTTGGTTACGACAGTCAGTCAGTAGCAACGTAGGACTTCGTACGTACGTACATCAGTTCGAGTTGCCACACTACATTAGCACAGAGATACAGTTGTCGATTCAAATTCCATAGTGGTAGAGGTAGTAAGAGTATAAGCAGTACGGTTTGAAGATGTTATTCAAGGAGTACAATTCAATGAAATAAATTTGAAAAAAAGCGAAAAAAGACATGAAGAATTCAGAAGATTAGAATTTGGGAGAGCACAAAGAGTGGATACACCTGCGTTATTGCAAACAATTTTGAGCCATGTCATTCAGGGTCTCTAACCATCGGCTGCTATCATCTCACGGGTCTCAACCAGGTAGTCTACACCTACCAACATGACTCAGACCACTTGTCAGTGACTTCATGGACTTGCGCCATGTTTTGGTCTGGCCTCCCCTAGTTTTCTTCCAACCTACTCCTATACCACATAACATCGCTCGTCGAGACAGTCGGTCGTTGGGCCTACGTAACACGTGTCCCATCCATCTCAACTGATGAAGTTTCACTACTTCATCAATGGATTTGCCATCCTTACCTAGTATCCGTTTCCTAACAAGTGTGTCATTTACTCAGTGGTCCCAGGATATACGACCAATGCTTCGAAAACACCTATGATCAAATACCAGTAACCTACGAATATCCTCTACTCTTACCAGCCATATTTCACTGCCATAAAGTAGGACGGAATGAACTGCTGCGCAGTAAACCTGTTCTTTGGTTGGTAGACGGATATCTCGCCTACCCCATGAATGACGCAAGTTAGCAAAAGCTAGTCAAGCCTTTTGTATCCGTGCTGAGATTTCGTCACACACCAGACCACAAGGGCTGATGAGACTTCCAAGATAAGTGAAGCGGTCGACATGCTCAACTACTTCACTCCCTATAATTAATTCGGGTGTCGATGCAACCCAATCCTGAAGTAACATTTTGTGTTTCGACGGGGAAAATCGCATCCCAAACATGCCTGCATTGTTGCTTATAGTGGTCAAAAGACTCTGCAGTTCGTGAGCGTCTTCTCCAAACAGAACTATGTTATCGGCATATTCCAAGTCAAGATATGAATCTCCTGGTAGAATTTCAGCCCCTGTAAATTTAGATGAGGAAAGTGTTATCTCTAAAAGCACGTCAACGACAAAGTTAAACAAGAATGGAGAGAGTGGACAGCCCTGACGAACACCACTTGAGGCAATCAATCCTGATGACAGTTCGCCATAAACTCTCACTCTATCAGTTGTGTTCGAGTAGAGAGCCTTTATAAGGTTAATGTACTTCTTTGGTACTCCTTTCGGTGACAAACACTGCCATAGAACCTCACGACCAACATAGTCAAACGTCGCCTGAGAATCGATAAATACTGTGTGTGTCTATGTTCTAGGACCTGACGTATTGTGAATATCTGGTCTATAAATCCACGTCCAGGTCGAAAACCAGCCTGATTTTGTCTAGTCTGTTCTTCACGAGCATTGGTTAGGCGTTGAAGTATTATTGAAGCTAATATTTTAGACACTATATTATTCAAACTGCTTCCTCTGTGATTGTCACAAGAGGACTTTTGTCCTTTCTTATAGACTGGCACAATCAGATGAGATTACTTCCAGTTCCCAAATTCTATATAAGACCTCAGGTAATCTCACTGCTAATACTGGACCATCATCCTTAAAAATCTCAAGGGTAAACCTGTCAGGGCCTGCTACTCTCCCTCGCTTCAGATTTCCTATAGCTTTTTCAACTTCGTAGAGTCGGAGGACTTACATTAACGTTCCATTCAGGTCGACTGGAGATCGTGGGAAACTGAAGTGTGGCTCAAGGCCAGTTGAACTGATCCCTAAAGTGTTCTGCCCATCGATCCAATCTCCTGGATTGAGAATGAATAATATGTTCATCTTTTTCCGAGATTGTTTCGCCTACAGTTGGGTTCCTAATACCGGTTTCTTTAACAAGTCTGAACAGTTGTCTGCTGTTGCCCATTGCCGCTGCCTTTTCCATCTCTCGTGCTTTCGCTAACCACCACTGTTCGCGATCATTGCGTGGGCTTCTCGTCAACTTGCGCTTGTGTATTTTTGTACAATATAGAATTCTGAGCTCAAAGTAATTCAACACGTTTCCTTTTCTTATTTTTTGGTCGACATATGAATAGTGTACATCTATTTCGATGCATATTGCCAGCAACCGAAATGTCTCTGACTGGGCTCTTTTGTAACTTACACAGTGAAATGTCTTAAACTTTTCACAAACGCACTTGAATAGGTTATGAGACTTACAGGCATAATGATGCGTTAAAACAAACAAAAACAGACAATGTATGACTTAATTTGTCCTACAGATATACTACTAGAACCGTAAACGCGATACTGACGAGCATAGAGTTTACGTAAAAGCTATAGTCAGAACAAGGACAACTTGGCTTTAAACTTTATCTATTTCAACTAGTACTACGTGTCTTATTGAAATGAATAAAATTATGAGTCACATCAATATAGTAGGATAATAGTCTTTCAATTGGTAGGTCACATGCGACAGGGATAGTTTACAGACACATCAGACCAGATTGGTGTGGTGGTCGCCTAAACAACGATTTAATTGATTAGTTATGAACATAACTAACAGACAGCACTTCGATGTTGAAAGCTTGTATATGAGGGTGGTCAGTCTACTTAAGTTATGTGATCGTCAGTTTCAACACTGATGACTTTCAATAGAACCTATCTTCATGTCCATCCAGACTATGATTATCAACGAAAATTGAAAGCCTTTAATTCGGTAAGAACCACTACAAATCGTTTCCGATATAATCAATACACACAATCAGCTTACACCCATTAAAGCCATGTTGTTAATACAAACATTAATCATAAAACGAATAATACGTAGGGCTTTTAGTCATGTCGACACTAAAACGTTTTTGACTTTGTATACAGTGTTCGTACGTCTTCGAGTTGAGTACTGCATACAGGCGGATAACCCTTGTTTAAAAAAAAGACTGAGTTTCTAGAAAAGGTTTAGAGAACAGCAACTAAGCTGATTCCTGGAATTGCGAAGCTTCTGTATGATGCTCGACTGGCCAAGCTAAACCTTTTCCCGTTGTCATATCGGATAACTAGAGGCGACTTGATTAGTTTTCAAATTGCTTAGTCATAAATTTGCACCTGATATGTCCTCATTTTTCTGGTCTTCCAAAAACAGAGAATTTACGAGGACACTCCAAAAAAGTTCATAAGCCCAGAACAAATTACTTGTCAGCTGACTATCGACTTTCCCATCTAGTCATTAGCGAGTGGAATTAACTACCTCAGCACGTGGTTGAGGCTACAACCGTCGACTCATTCAAAAGAAAGTTGGATCAACCGAGAGACCGCCATTCCCAGGACTAACACAGGCCATCAAGCCTCATATCCTTTCCAAACTGAAACTACTTTAAAATAACTTACATCGAGAAGAACTGGCACTTTGCCGTTCAGTATCTCTTTGGTTATCTTCTGTTTCTCTTCTTCTGGCTTCATCAAAGTTTTGTAATATTCATGTTCTAGATCTTCAGCCTATGTATTGTAGACAAAATTAAAAAGTTAATGAAAATATGAAGTAAAAGTATAATATAGTGACGACTTTGGGCGACTCATCATTCAATCAGGAGACACTGGATAGTTACAAAACAATCAACAGTTAAAACCAATAAAATATCAGTGAAATAACATCCTTGCTCTGAATAAACAACCTTCACATATCCAAATATTATTTGCAGAAAAGGTAAGACTTCACGACTACACATTAGGAATCGAACTAGTGTTTTGACTAAGGGTTGTCACCATGTAGAGTTTTCATCACCACACAATATATGTGATATCATAAAATGTGCTGAATTAGGAATTAAGAGAAATGATAGTTTTGAGTTGGATTTACAAATTACGATTGTGGTTTTCCTGAGGAGCCGTTTATTTATTTGGACACGTAAAAATTGGCACAAGGCGGCACCAAATATATATATGCATCACACAGTTAAAACGGAGGTTGCGAAGACGATGATGAGTATAATAGCAAAGAGCAACAACGAACAAAAATTAGTGTGTGGGAATGAAATAATAAAAATAATAATATGGGCAGTGGGATGAGAAGACAAAGGTTATCAGAATTGTGATATATTTGCGCAATATATTTCGAGCAATCTGATCACACATACTTGTCAAGACATTATACATGAAAAACAAAAGGTCAACTAAATAGACTAAAAGGTTAGCAGAAAGATAATGATGAAGTACACACAGTCAGTGTGATTACCAATCTGGATAATAAACCACTATTACCGGGACAAGTTGGAGGTAAGAACAAATTGATTTTGAACGCATATAGAGGGTTTCCGCTTCCAACTGACTTGATATCAACCTTAAAACCAGTCTCGACCAAATGTCCATCTTGATCTCGTTAGAACATCGGTAATCATTTGTTTTTGTAACCACTTAGGTGTGCTCAGACGCCCTTATTTGCAGCTCACGATTAGTACTCCCCATATACGTGATTCCATACATACATATAAATTGATAGATACAATAGGATGTGAAACAACCGTTTACATACTGTTTGAGTTTTTGGTGAAACACAAACCTTGACTTTCGATAATGATAAGTTGCGCTGCATAAAACGTCCTATTGATAGCTTATTTTATTTTTCCTTTCAATATGAGACTACTTGAGTCCCCGCTAAGTGATTAGGTTATGCAAACTCTTTTTTGTTTGGTTAAAACGTCGCAGGACTACCCATAGGCACGTTAATCTGTCGATAATATTAATAACACTACTACTAATGACAATAATAATAATAATAATAATAATAATAATAATAATGGGAGAGGCAGTCCAGTGAAGAAAGAACTTCAATTACTCCCGCCTTAATGAAGTGTAAGAAAGTTACAGCAGGATCGCCACTGTCGTCTGTTCTGAGACACGTGAGATAATGTCTCAAGACCGTGTTGCGCCATCTCTGGGTAAACAACCTACACGAGTTAACCTGTCTGTTTTCCCTTTAGACACGTTGACACTTAGGTATGTACTTACATCAAAGGAGAATCCAGTATAGAATGTCACAAGAACAACAAGTATTGTCGAGATGTAAACAAATAAAATGAAACACGACGAAGTATTTTCCGGTGGTGAAGTGGATGGTTTCCAGTGAACAGTCAGTCAGTGAGCTACAACGTAGAACCAGACACATATGTGTATTGGTCCAGGTTGCCATACCTCATTAATACAACAAGATGGACACCGGATTCATAAAAGTAGTTAATTCATAGGTGGTAAAATAGAAAAGAAAGATTGCAATAAGGATATAGTACAGGAAGGAATAATAAGTTAGTAGAAAGAAAGATATGAAGTGATTTTAATCTCTTAGTTTAAGGGAAGACAGAGAGTGTATACACCGACGCCATTGTGACCGATTCTGAGCCATGTCACCAAGAGTCTCCAACCATTGGTTACGATAGTCACGCGGACCCCAACCAAGTAGTCTGCATCTACCAACATGGCTCAGACCAGAAGTTTGTGACTTCAAGCACTGATGCCACGTTTTGGTTTGGCCACCCCTAACATTCTTCCAACCATCCCCTACACCGGTTAGCATTGCACGTCGCGGTAATCGGTGTTCAGGCATACGTAACACGTAACCCAACCATCTCAGTCAATAAAGATTTACAACCTCAACAACTGATTTACCATCATTCCCTAATACCCTGCGTTTAACCTCACTATTGCTTACCCGGTGATCTCAGCAGGCGCCAGCAATATTACTAAGGCATATGTGGTCAAATACTAGTAGCTTACGAGTGCCTTCTACTCTTAAAGGCCATGTTTCGCTGCCATAAAGTGAAACAGAATGGACTGCCACGCAGTATACTCGTCTTTTAATTAATAGATGGATATCTCGCCTTCGCCAAAGGTGACGTAAGTTGGCAAAAGCCAAACGAGCTTTTCGAATCCGTGCTGAGATTTCATCAGACACCAACCCATTAGGGCTGATCAGACTTCCAAGATAAGTGAAGTTGTCAACGCTTTCGGCTACTTCACTCCCTATCCTTAGTTCAAGTATTGACACAGACCAGTCCTGAAGCAACAACTTGCATTTAGAGGGAGAGAAGCGCATTCCAAACATTCTGACATTGTAGCTGAGTGCTACCAAAAGACTCTGCATTTTATCAGCGTCTTCACCAAACAGGACTATATCATCTGCGTATTCTAAGTCGATAAGTTGACATCCTGGATGGAGATCAATACCCGAGAATTCAGTCGACGAGAATGTTTTTTCCATCAATAGGTCTATGATGAAGTTAAACAAAAATGGAGAAAGTGGACAGCCTTGACGGACACCACGTGAGGTTGCAAAAGCAGATGACAGTTCGCCATAAGCTCTGACTTGACTGGTAGTGTTCGAGTAAAGAGCCTTCACAAGGTTTATGTACTTCTGAGGTACGCTTTTCAGTGATAGACACTGCCACAGAAGCTCGCAGTCTACAGAGTCAAATGCTGCTTTTAAGTCAAGGAAGACCACCATTGTCGGACGCCGATAGGTATGCCTGTGTTCTAGAACCTGACGAATGGTGAATATGAGGTCGATGCATCCATGACCAGGTCTGAAGCCAGCTTGATTCTCTCATGTTTGCAGTTCACGAGTCTTAGTTAGGCGTCTAATAATTATCGAGGCTAGTATTTTGGATACTATATTAGTTAAACTAATTGGATTAGAGGTGGTCTTAGTGACCCGGGAGCGTGACCTCAGTGCCCAAGGGACAACTGCTTGAGGTCAGTCACACACGCCCTTTATTATGGCTAATTTTTGTGTTAGCTCCGTTCTTCTTGAGACCTAAGCGCCGTAGACGGATATCCATGGGATAAGGCGAAGTGTACATTCTTAGAGTCAACCGATTTTAACCCCACCCCTCGTTGTAGGAAGGCAGCATCGCTGTCATTGCTGGTTGTCTGAAGGAAACACCTTACTGCTGTCACACCTCTGAACAGTCAGCAGTACGACTTCGCCTTCGGACATTGGGTTTGTTACTTTAAGTCTTACCGCTCTTCAACCTGCCTGTCTGACATGGTAGGACCTTGAGGAACGGTTGTTCCGGCCAGTATAGCTCGGTTGCTTCATCACGATAGGTAAGCCCGACCACCACGTCAAGGTAGCAACAACGGTCGGGAGTGAACACCATTACGATACGGCAAATGAGTAATTTATTTGTAATATTCCGAATTGGTAGAAAACTTCAGTCTTAGTCACTTTTTTTTAATAATTGGGATATTTCAAATTTATCATGATTTTTAGTAATCACAACACATTAGTTAACACTCGCCTATAAATTCAAACTTTATTTATTCGACGCAATAAGTTAAACTCACAGGACTCCAACAGCATAAAATTCCACCAATCAGTAAAACGCCTAACTCACCTGACCAATCAATTTCTCAACATTATAATACTCTTCCTCTGTTCCTCCCATCATATGATGCTTCTTCGCCATATACCGTGCAATAGCCAAACTCTCTACCATCCATTTCACGTGCCCATGACTATCGGTGATTTTCACTGCAGGCAATCGTCCACCCGGAATAGTTGGTTTGATTTTCGGCCAATCTTGGAAACTAATTCTCTCATCTTCGTAGTTCACACCAGCTGCCACAAGTGTCATCCGGATCGATTCAGCTCGTCCGCGTCCGTTAAAATAGACAACCTATAGAAACTACAGCTTAGTGTTTTACATCACTTTTTGCTCGAAAACAGTTCTATCATCCAAGTCCTAACCACTTCAGAAAAACTATCACATAACAGATAACTGCTCCATGGATTACATATCTCTGAAATATGAACCAGATGGACTCTCTAGAACCCTCTAGGTTCTCGCAGCAATTTCACAGGCAAACCATAACATTTCCTGAAATACTACACCTAACTTTTCTTAAAACAAACACTGGGTGGTTACTATGTGACTATAATGGTTGTGCATCATATCAGAACTAAGTCTGAACACGTAATTTAGTGGCTTAATGAGGTGAAAAATCACTGCTAATTATGTGTACAGATTTACTGTGCAATCGATATGACTCAGTATTTACTTTCATGCCGCAAATAATATTTATTCTACCAAATACTGCAATTGGGAACCTCAACAACACTCGAAAACCCACCAAGTGACACAAGTGACTAAAAACAACCAAACCAACCTTGATGTGATCACCAGTCATCGTACAGTCAGACAAAACAATGTGAATTAATTAAGCAGTGACTTAAATAGTCATCTGGTAAATAAATCCACCAATAGTGCAACTACTGCATTGTTTAAGCTGTAAATATTTCATTTCTATTCGCTGAGCCATTGAGTGTCTCATTGGCTGTGAACAAGTGACCAATAAAAATTAAGCAGGTAAGTTTAACACGACTCATCGAGCATATAAACCGTTTTTCAACGATGGTTCATTTAATATACTTTTGCTTATTTTATTGATAGTATGCGTTAGCAAGCTGATTTAACTAAGGCTATCATGTTAGGATAGTATATCCATGATCAAGACATCTGAAAACAAATTAACACTAAAGAACCAGTCAATTAACCTGATTTCATGAAAAAAGTATGACTTCAATAATCAGCAAACGCGAAAATGTTAAGTATAGCCTAGTTGATTGGACACTGTTTATACTAATAATTTATCCTGATCAAGTGATGTTTGTTTCCGAATAATGCCATAATTATGTAGCTGTGAGTAGACAGACTTCATTAAATTCTTAACATCCTGCTTAACAATATCATATGCATCTTTGTGATCTCAGGCAAAGTTCTCACAGTTATCAGTAATATTTCCTAGAAATAAGTTGATAAAAAACGCTTCATTTGGCGATTTAAAATGTCACGCACACTTTTTAAACTAATGATCACAGTAGTTTTTCACTTCACTAATTTTGTTTCAGTCGATACTTGATTGATTCTCTCAGAAGTGATTGGAGTACCCAAGTTTTTGTTCCAATCCATTGTGGTGGCTACCCCTTAGGTTTGTATCTAAGTCTAAAAGATGCCATTCTATGCTAACTCATAACACTTAGTGACTCAGATGTTTCAATGACTATTGATCAGAACTAACAATCAACTGGTGGGGTTTTTAGAAAGTTATAGTTCAAGCAACCAGCTCATCCAGAGAGAAGTCGAGTGGATTTATTCCATTCACATGATTAAGCTTTTATCCAGGTAAATGAAGTGTACTGGACATTTAAAGTTTCTGTTCGTGAGCCTCTTTTTTCAACTCGATCATTTTCTCGCATACCCATTCCAGTGAACTGTATATCCTTCTATTTAGTTGTTCTGTAATGACGCATACTATCGATTACTTAAGGATAGATTCAAACACAGTATTTTCGAATATTGCATCTAATAGATCAACACTCAATAATAGGAATTTTTCGACCTCAGTGAATCTATCGCATAAAACGATTACCGTCTATTAAGTATTCTTATTCACTTCCCACTTAGTGAAAATTTATATGAACTACCATACAATAGTGGCCAAATTAGATTCATCAGAGAATTAATAGAAAAATACTTAAGTTGTCTTAGTGTCCTAACAAGAGGTATTTATGATGATCAGAAGTATTCGAATTCATGTAAAAACAAGGAATTCCCGAAATGGTGCAATTTACTCTAAGTAGAACTAGATGAGAACAAATGAACGTGTAATATTAGGAATTCTCAATCAGCGGGCCATCAAGTACGGAAGAATCATTGACTCATACAAATACGACAGTACGCTCTCACAGAACCAAATCAGCAAGTTACGAACATTCGACTTCAGAGGTTTTGTCCAGATTTCATACTATTTTCCCACATACAACTACATCAACGTATGAAAACCACTGAATAGTATTACATGTATTCAGAGATCACTCAGTGATCAATAACAAACATGATAAGGTATGCGTTTAATATGGACCAGTTTAAGTCCCTAAACGTTACATGTACTCGGTGGGAGGAAACTAATGATAGTAAAAACAAAGAACGTAAACTAACAACATCACTATGTATTTGGTGAACGAAATGACAAATATGGTTGGAACGGAACATATAAAATTCAAGAAGGGTAAGTATAAACTGATAGTGAAATTTGGGATCTAGGGCAAGATGAAATGTCAGTATCTCTGTACCATTGAGATTGACGTCAAGTTACGTCACTTATAATAACCAATTATAGATTTTGTTTGTGTTGTGGATGTAAATCACAGCAAAGACAGGCCTATATCATTCCTTTATTTTGCTTTGTCACACTTTTCTTAGACTACTTCAACGATAAGCATCATAACAAGTCAGAACATTCGTTGACTAAGCTTGAGTAGCACTTTTCCGGTGATTTCACTCTATTCATAGTACCATCGATCAACTTACCACCATTTTTACCTGGTATCCTATGCCTTACCTCAACACTGTTGGCCTAGTTATCCAACCGACAAAGCTTCAATTTATTTATTTGAACACATAAATATTGGTGCAATAAGGCACCGAATACATCTGTGCCACACAGGTCACTTGATTTGTGTGTGGGATGTGATACTGGCCGGGTGCCCAGACCAAAGCAATTGGTTTTCCAAAGTGGCCATGCCCGGAGCATTCGACCTAAAGGTCGAACATGAATGCCACTTTCGTAGGCTAATTCAAATATCAGCCCACCATAAGCTTTGATTCAACTAATGGTTTATAGGTAAAGAGCGTCTGAATGATATTCGTACTTATTTAATGCACCTTTCAATACATACACTTCCACAACGTCTCTCAGTCGACAGAGTTGAGTGCCAGTATCGTGTCAAGAAAGGTGGTCACAGTCACACTGTAGTAGATTTGCCTATGTTTCTGAATCTACTGTATGGTGAATATCTGATCTATGAGCTCAACGTTGGTTCAGAAACCCATCGGATTTCTTCGAGTGTCTTGTCATTGAGCTCTGAATGAATGTGGAAAGGTTATAGAAGCTAACATTCACTCAATGAGATATGTAGTATCGTAAGAAGTAATAATAAGTTATTCATCAAAATCAATAATTTTCTATTTTTCCAGAAGACATTCAACTTCAAGATATAATCAAAGTTAGTTGTATTATTTTAAAAATGTAAGGTCAGATTTTTGAAACAGTGTGAAGTCGTGTTGCTCGTACTTTGTTCGAATTGGTTCATTGTGAGACCGCCAAAAATTAACTCATGGATGTTGTAATCCAATTAAGCATAGACTGAAAACGGAGTTGTATACTCACATCAGCTAGTCATTTAAACTAGGTTTGGTTCATGGTAAGAATATGAAATAAAATTACGTAATGATGGTAAGATGTAAAATCTAAAAGAATTACGACACGAATACGAATATCCTACTCTAACCGATTTTTCACCATATATCACCTAAGTTCTCTAACCATTGATTATGATTATCGTGCAGATGTCAGCCAGAACTATGGATCTCCTATCACAACTCAGTGCAATATTTAATGACTTCATAGACCTATGCCATATTCTCCTCATAGAATCCACTGTTATCAACTACTAACTAGTATCAATTGAATTATGAAAATGAAGACAAATCCTGTGGAATCATTTATTCTATTTGAGAAATAACATTCAACTAATGATTACGGGAGATACACAAGTTCATGGTAGCAAAATGTGGTTTGAAGTAACAAGACGAATTAAACCGAACAACAGATTACTACCTATTACAAACAAGAATCTACACGGAGATGCACACATATACACGCAAGAACATTGATGAAAAGTGATGTAAGCAAAAATAAACCAATAAACAAACAGCACAATGCGAGGATGATATACTTGGTACAGTATTCAAAATTTAGAAAAATAACTGGCTTTTCGACAAGTACTTTAGAATGAATAAATTTTCAGTAAACTTTGAATATGTAGTGTCTGAAAATGTATGACTTTTGATAAAAACGAAAATGTATTGACATGTTTAGCACGTTGTTATCTGTGACAGCAAACGAAATGATAAAAACCTCAAATCATGATGTATAAATATGGGAAAAGTTTGTATCCTGAAGGGAAAAATAACGTCTCCGGATAAATCTATTACAAGGAAATTATGTACTTTACCATACTTCAAATGTGCTTCGAAGACTTCAGTGTATACTGGATGACGTTACAACTGACCAATGATACTATTTGTTATGTTGGAAAATGATATGAATGATTGTAGAATTTCAAAAGATTATCTAATCTGTTACACAAATCACATTAACAGACGACATGCAAAAACACAATGAAAATAATGATTAGCATTAAATATTGGAGGTGATTTAATTCTCGTTCCACAACAACTTATTTACTAGCTGCATGTGATTTCTCTGATTGTATCGGTGTTGGTACAGTGGTTGTAGTTGTAGTGATCAATGTTACTTCTCCGCTGGTGGTGGTATTTGTTGTTAGATTACTAAAGTCGTCGGCAAATCCATTATTGACACAGTCACTAATGTGCTCATCTAAATCACTGCAACCAATCAATTCACCTGAGCTACCACTTGTATTCAACGCTTTCTCTCCACCATTATCATTATCAATATCGTTATTATTCTTTTCATTATTATCGAAGAAAGGATTTTCGACTTCGATTTCACCAGTCTATTAAAATAAGTAAGTATTAAGAAGGAGCAATTTAGTTTAATAAAATTATCTCAATGATAATTTGATAGAGTGTGATAGAATTTTGAAATCTAATGTTACGAGTATTCAATGGAGTTTGAAGTTTTGATTAGATAGATACATTAGTGTCTCAACCAAGCCAGGTGTCTTCAAATGTTTTACAATATGTGGTAAGTGAAACTATTTCATTTATTTTTTATCGGTGTAACAATTATTGAACTAGTGTCGTTACTATGTCCTGTCGTAGAACACCAGGCTGTCTAGTTCAACTGACTTCTTAATGCGATAAAAGAGTGGCATGGCGTTTGTTATTGTCAAGTACTATTTTTAACAGTTGATCAGTTACAATTAGGACAGACTCGATAATACTATGAAGTAAAGAAATATCGCTCTTGTCTTAAAGCTGTGGCAGACTAAAAATACAATTACCATATATAGTAACAAACGTATTAAATAATATTGTATAAAATTAGATAATGATACACAGTCTAGAACTGCATAATTAAAGTTTGTACGTTCCTTTTTAAGTGCTGGGTATGGAGTGTTGGATCGGTCATTAAATCTA